TGCCCTGAGATCCTCCATTCCGACCAAGGTCCAAACTTTGAGTCGAGGGTTATCGCAGAACTGTGCCAGCTCTACGGGTGCCGTAAGACTCATACTACCCCGTATCACCCCCAAGGGAATGGGGGGTGTGAGAGGTTTAATCAGACCTTGCTAAACCTATTGGGGACCCTTGATGCGGACCAGCAGAGTTCGTGGGTGGAATACCTCCCCTCTTTGGTACAAGCGTACAACAACAGCATACATAGTACCACAGGCTTTGCGCCGGCCTTTCTGATGTTTGGGAGACACATACGTTTACCCGTCGATCTACTCTGGGGGACTGCTTCGACGGCGGGGGCCCCGAACACCACTGAATGGGTGAATCGGCACCATCGACAGCTCCATTTCGCCTATGGGAGGGTCACGGACCGAATACATAGAGCTGCAGAGAAAAACAAACGATTGTATGACCGAACAGCTCGAGAAGCCCCTTTGCTGCCCGGAGAGCGGGTACTGGTTCGGGATAGTGGGCGTCAAGGAAAAGGCAAGTTGAGTGATCGGTGGGAGGTTACGCCGTACGTGGTGGAACGACAGAGAGACCCTGACGTACCGGTGTATAACATTCGGCCTGAAGGGAGGTTGGGCCCAGAACGGGTGCTGCACCGTAATTTGCTTCGGCCCTGTCCTAATTATTCGAGGCCTGCGGGGGAGGTTCCAACAGCCCTTAGGACCTTGGAACCACCGGTGGTGGGTTGGGCAGTGGTCCCAGAGGGACGGGAATCTGTGGCAACAGGGGAGCCTCTACCATCTCCTCCCCGACGCTCACAGCGAGACAACCGGGGGCAACCACCTGCGAGATACGGTGAGTGGACCTCCGGTCAGGAGTTCTAGGGACTAGCACTCATTGGTGGGGGAGGATGTCACGGGGTGACCAGGGCCGGAACCTTTTTCACGGGAGTTGTTGCCATGGAGGAACACTTCCGGTGCAACACCGGGACGGTTCCGGTGACTCCCGAACAGGGCGGAAATGCAGCGAGAGCTGATCGGGCGAAATCATCGGCACGTGCGAGGGGGAAAATCCCAAACGGTGATTAGGGCGTGAGAAGCATAAAAGACGCGGTAGCGAAGGAAGGAAAAAAAAACAGCCGGAGACGCAGTAGAAGGACGGAGGACGGCGGGAAGCAGGATTCTTCTAGCTAAGTGGCTAGCTTTCTTTGGCATGAGTATTACATGAGGAACGATTATATCTTCATATTGCCCAGTGACGTGGAGATTATGGTGAAATAGATTCTGTTTTATGCTAGCGTATGAAGATTCCATTTATCAAGGGTCCATTTGAGCCCGAACACTGCCTTATCCAATGATTTGCGGTGCTGGGTTGATATTTTCACGTGTGGAGTGAGTGTTTTGCAGTGTACACACGAGTGTGGGACCCCTGCGGACCGTTCGGGTGATCGAGTGGATAAACACCCTTGATGTAACTGCGCCAGCTCATGGAATCCAGTCCTGTGAGTACAAACTACAGAGTTCTTGTTGACATCTTCGTCTGTTCCCCGTCTGTGCTGAAGCACATCAGAGCTGCTGAACCGAGTATACCTCCTGTTGAACTGAGTCCATCTTCTGCCGTAATACAGCCCTGTGAGTACAAAAGACAGAGTTAATGTTGACATCATCGTCGGTTCCCCGTCTGTGCTGAAGCACATCAGAGCTGTTGAACTGAGTCTGCCTTCTGCTGTCATCCAGTCCTGTGAGTACAAAATACAGAGTTATTGTTGACATCTTCGTCTGTTCTCCTGTCTGTGCTGAAGCACATCAGAGCTGCTGAACCGAGTATACCTCCTGTTGAACTGAGTCCATCTTCTGCCGTAATACAGCCCTGTGAGTACAAAAGACAGAGTTAATGTTGACATCTTCGTCTGTTCCCCGTCTGTGCTGAAGCACATCAGAGCTGTTGAACTGAGTCTGCCTTCTGCTGTCATCCAGCCCTGTGAGTACAAAATACAGAGTTAACGTCGACATCTTCGTCTGTTCCCCGTCTGTGCTGAAGCACATCAGAGCTGCTGAACTGAGTCCACCTTCTGTCGTAATCCAGCCCTGTGAGTACAAATACAGAGTTAATGTCGACATCTTCGTCTGTTCCCCGTCTGTGCTGAAGCACATCAGAGCTGTTGAACTGAGTCTGCCTTCCGCTCTCATCCAGTCCTGTGAGTACACAATACAGAGTTAACGTCGACATCTTCGTCTGTTCCCCGTCTGTGCTGAAGCACATCAGAGCTGTTGAACTGAGTCTGCCTTCTGCTGTCATCCAGCCCTGTGAGTACAAAATACAGAGTTAACGTCGACATCTTCGTCTGTTCCCCGTCTGTGCTGAAGCACATCAGAGCTGTTGAACTGAGTTTGCCTTCCGCTGTCATCCAGTCCTGTGAGTACACAATACAGAGTTAACGTCGACATCTTTGTCTGTTCCCCGTCTGTGCTGAAGCACATCAGAGCTGCTGAACTGAGTCTGCCTTCTGCTGTCATCCAGTCCTGTGAGTACAACATACAGAATTAATGTTGACCTCTTCGTCTGTTCCCCGTCTGTGCTGAAGCACATCAGAGCTGCTGAACTGAGTCCACCTTCTGTCGTAATCCAGCCCTGTGAGTACAAAATACAGAGTTAACGTCGACATCTTCGTCTGTTCCCCGTCTGTGTTGAAGCACATCAGAGCTGTTGAACTGAGTCCACTTTCTGTCGTATTCCAGCCCTGTGAGTACAAAATACAGAGTTAATGTTGACATCTTCGTCTGTTCCCCGTCTGTGCTGAAGCACATCAGGGCTGCTGGACTGAGTCTGCCTTCCGCTGTCATCCAGTCCTGTGAGTACAACATACAGAATTAATGTTGACATCTTCGTCTGTTCCCCGTCTGTGCTGAAGCACATCAGAGCTGCTGAACTGAGTCCACCTTCTGTCGTAATCCAGCCCTATGAGTTCAAAATACCGAGTTAACGTCGACATCTTCGTCTGTGCTGAAGCACATCAGAGCTGCTGAACTGAGTCCACCTTCTGTCGTAATCCAGCCCTGTGAGTACAAAATACAGAGTTAACGTCGACATCTTCCTCTGTTCCCCGTCTGTGCTGAAGCACATCAGAGCTGTTGAACTGAGTTTGCCTTCTGCTGTCATCCAGTCCTGTGAGTACAACATACAGAGTTAATGTTGACATCTTCGTCTGTTCCCCGTCTGTGCTGGAGCACATCAGAGCTGTTGAACTGAGTATACTTCCTGCTGTAATCCAGTCCTGTGGACAAGAAGTACAGAGCCAACGTGTGTTGGAGAGACACAGGAAGAGACCGCTTGATTTTAAAAGAGACATTCCTTTAATAAATAAAAGTTCGACTGTATCTCCTGTTGTCTGGCCTCTTCTGTCCTGCGGGGTAGCTCCTCAAGGGGGCGTGGTAGTTCAGGGGTGTTTGTTGGCTGGTTCAGTAGCAACAAACCCCCTGGCCTGTGACATAATTTGTCCCAAAACTTTAGGGAGCAAGGGGGAGTGCTATTCTTCCCTTAAAATCAACTCGCGAACTCAGTGAGCAACAAGATGGAGGACACCACTGGAAAGGAACAATTTAATTAAGTATATTTTCGCAAATAAGCATGTTAAAATTTCTAAATATGTTGGAATATGTTAGTTTGATGCACGTCCAATGGACTGTTGAGTTTTGAACACTAATGTTTCAAAATATTTCACGAAGCTATCTGCCGAGTGCTTCGAGAGAGTCTGCCCATCAAATATACATCTGATCTGGGTAGTTAATCTAATTTTATTTTCGATTTAGATTTTGGCTTCCAAAGATTATAAAAATATGATAAATGAGGTAAAACTATTAAAAACTAGCCGCGTTCGTCTAGCGCATCATCTTTCCCTTCACAGTGTGCTGTCATCTCAAAAGAGCTAGCCTATATTAAAAGCACAATGAGGTGGACTTTATTGTCGAGGGCACTCAAGTGGAAGTTTTAAGGGGGGGGGAAATGGGACAGGGCCTAAGTCAAACAGCAAACAGCCACCCACAAATACAGTATAATAGGGTAAATCCTGTATAAAGTGCTTGCATATTGCATACACTTTTAGCTGTTATGTATCTTTGGAAGTCCTTGAAATGAATGGATTTCATAGCGCAGCGCATTCGCGCGTCCTGTCTGAAAGGCGCTTCAGTCCCCGGCACGCGCAAGTGCACCCCCGAAGGACACGGTATAGTTCGAACACTGATCTGACTCATACCAGGTCAACCGTCAAAGGAGACGCATTTGAGACTCATGTTACAGGTGTACACAGCGGTACTTCTCGGCTGATCTCAGTAAATGCTCTCACATTTCTACCTGTGTTTTTTGTAAATGTGATGTCCATTGTTTTAGTAAACTACTGCCCTCTACTGTAAGAACCCCGTAACTGCAGTGTTAGTTCAATACTTACAGGGGCACTTCACGCATTCCTCCAGAAACTAAATGGAGCAAAACACTATCCAATAAATAACTAGTTTTATGGATTTGGAGCAGTTTAGCTGGAAAGACGACGCAGCCGCACCAGCGGTCAATCAGTCTTATCGCATAGCAAATATAAAAATTGTAATCAGACATTTGAAATAATAAATGGGGAAATAATTATTTGAAAAACCTTGTTTATTTTTTTCCTATTGGACCTTTTGTGACACTTCAGTCTATACGATTACATATATAGGCCTATATAGGCTATATATAATTTTGAAGACATGATGGGCACTCACTGAAATGGCATTAACAAGGTGTCATTATGTTACTGACTGACCTGACCCAAACACAACATTACAACATGACAGAAAATCAAAAACCTTACACATAAACAACAATAAATGTGACATATAACATTACTATAACATTAATTTCACAGCTCACAAATTCAGATATTACATTAAATAACAATAGATTAAGAGAAACATTAATGCTTGTAAACAACAAAAATCCCCAGGGAATATAGCACTGATATATGAAACTGTCAGCACTGCCGTCGTGTCTTTTCATTTATCTGGAGTTTCACTGATAGGTCATTTCATACATATGTCACCTAAGGTTTCTTATTTCTCTTATGGGATTCACTCTTTGAGAAGATGGACAATATGAATTTTGCACACTGTTTAGGATTGAAAGTGGCCGGTACAATGAGATACTCTCCTGGTTCAAGCTTGAAGCATTTCATCACATGTCTTGCCTTGACAAAGTTCCCACTACTTTCAATGGGGCGTTTGCGGTAGAAGAACTTGTCCGGGAGCTTCACATCTTTCATCTAAAGGAGAATGAAATATAAACTTGTATTCAAGCAACTAGTTTATTTTGTAAATACTATGTAATTCATGCATTTTAAAAGCAAAGTTTTACACTTTTGAGCTTGAATTAACTATATGTTTTACTTGCCTCTGGTGGAATCTGTTGAAGTAGAAAATAGAATAGCACACCATTAATAAGTGGAAACCAAAATTACTGTATTTTCTGACTCCAATAGAGTTATTTGTTAATACTGACCGCAAAAACACTGAAGCCGATGGAGTAGTTAGAAACTTCACTTCTGTTTCTCTTCTCATGGTTCTGCATGAGGGACACCAGTATGTTTTCAGGGCACTGACCACTACATTCCTTATCAAGCTCCTCAATCCTCACCCGAAACTGAGGGTTCGTCCAGAAAGAGTCTACAAGACATCCATTGAATCAGACATTTGAGGTACATGGAGTAGACACACACACACACACACACACACACACACACACACACACACACACACACACACACACACACACACACACACACACACACACAAACCCTTTGGCCAATATTATGTATAGACACCCAAAAAGCATGTTGCATGCTGTATCTAATATTTCTATTCATGCATGCTAGTATGTAATTGTATGAAATGCTCACATGCCACTCTCTCTCATTATATATTATGAGCTACCTTTATTATTGAGGCAGCCACCAGCTGTAGTCCCATCAACCCAGCTGTCTTTGTAACATGTGTAAGTCCATCTGCATTCAGAGGAACTGTCCAGAAAATCAGGACTGAGGCAGCAAATATCAAGGTCTTCAAAGTTTTTGGTGAAGTCCTCCATTGACATCCTGCAGTAAAATATTAGTTATTGAAAATATTTGATTCATTAATGCTAGAGACCATATCTGAAACTTCAGTTAATGCTCACCAGAACTCTCCGTCATTGGCCAAAGAACGACACATGGATTGCTCCTTCTCACTCACTTTGTCCCACAACGATGACCTAAAGTTATGCAAAAGAATATATTAAAATATTGCATGAGGTTATGCTAACTGAGAAATTAGCAGCAGCAAATAAAGAGGGAAAAAAACAGGTATACTGTACCTTTTAAACTGAATAAGCTTCTTTTGTAATTAATAAATATTTTTCTAAAAGGGTATAGTTGAATTTTCAATGGCACAGAATGAAATAAGATGCCAAAAAGGATGGAAATAAAGTTAGCAGAAAATGATGTCAATAAAGAACTGGCTTTTGTTTTTAAAGGGATGTTTATTACAAAAGAGTGACTAAAGGCAAAAGCTCATTCATTCAAAATATCCTTCAGAGAATGAGAGTTCCGCTCTATGAATTCCGGCGATATGAATGACAGTGATCGTAACTAATGCAAATGAAAAACCAACAGCACTTAACAACCTCCAGCGATTTAATCTATGTTAGTGTGAACATTCCTTAACAAGACTGTAATGGTATATTCAAGGACTGAGGGTGCATTTACAAGACACCATTTTAAATTAAAAACAGAAAGTTTTTTGTGTGTTTTGGCCATTCATTTACACGACAATGGCGTTTTGGGGCCCTGTGCAAGTTTTTGAAAACGAAAATGTTATTGTCTCCATGTAAAGTACAAAAACGCAAATTTGTGAAAAGGGTGACATCATGCGCATGCGTGTTACATGTTCAGTCGCGTTCAGGCGACGCGTAGTGTTTCATTGTCGTTGTACCCCAAAAACACAAAGGAAAAACTTTTACTTTGTCTTGTAAACGTACCCTAAATCTGTGTTAGTGAGCACTTCTCCTTTGCCGAGATAATCCATCCACCGCAGGTGTGGCATATCAAGATGCTGATGAGACAGCATGATTATTGCACAGGTGTGCCTTAGGCTGGCCACAATAAAGGACCACTCTAAAATGTGCAGTTTTAACACACAGCACAATGCCACAGATGTCGCAAGTTTTGAGGGAGCGTGCAATTGGCAATGTCCACCAGGGGCCTCATTTATAACCGTTGCGTACACACAAAACAGGCCCTGAAAGAGGCGTACGCTTATACGTTTATAATTTTGTTCAGTGTATATACACACATTTTAAAACATGGGGACTTGACAAAAATGGCAGAATCCATGGAAACCAAAGTAGTTGTATAATTTAAAATTATTGATGTTTTAATCAAAGAAACCTAGAAAAAATAATATAGTATTCAGCTTGGTGAGCTTAATATTTTATCTAATATACTACATATATGATGGGGACAAAATTACTTTTAAAGATTTACAGTTTGAAAGCTAACAAGCTAACTGAAAAACTTTATTTATTATACTAATAAATTAATACAACTCTCAAACCTGTTAAGAATTTTTTTAATATAATATTCATGAATCATCTAGTGGTACAAATAAAGAATGACGTGTTGTGATTAGTGAACCTATAATTTCATATGACTCTTACTTGTCACTCCAGTCACCGGTCCACTCGCGTTCTCCCCAAGGGTTCAACACTCTCACCAGCTGAACTGTTTTTTTTTGGCATTTTACCTGTAGAATACAACATGACACGACACTTTTAATGCATAAATACAGAATATGCCATTTCACCAGGGATATTGTGAAATAACCTATTTACCTCAGCACTGAAGTGTCTAAACACAATGCTTTGAGTTACATAAAGTACAAAACATTATTCAAGAAACTCTCTTGCAAAATCACAGGCTTGACATAAGGGATACACATGAATGCAAACTGAACAAAAGACATATCAAAGTGTGGAGCTCATACTGAATACAGCTGAATGCAATAAATAGGCTACACAATAACAAAAATGGTTAATATGAGAAGCAAGTATAGTTGTAGTTCAGGGGTGCTCAGTCCTGTTCCTATAGATCAAACCTGCAGAGTTCAGATCTAACCCTGATCCAACACACCCGTCTGTAATTATCAAGCGCTCCTGAAGATCTAAAATAGCTGGTTCTGTTGTGTTTGATCAGGGTTGCAGCTGAACTTTGCAGGAAGATAGATCTCCAGGAACAGGATTTGGCACCCCTGTTGTAGTTAAACACCTGTCTTTCTATAAAAATCAACCTCAGGCTTATTGAAAATTTTCCCAGGTGGTTACATGTGAAGACAGGTCCCAGAACAGAGCCTTGAGGGCATTACTCAGGAATGCAACACAAAGTTAAAGTGCAGGAGGTTTTACGTGTTTTGATCATTTCTTAGAGGACTGGAAATGGAAGGAACTCTGGTGAGTTTACTTGCAGTTACATCTTGTAAAAGAACGCACTATTCTTTCTTTCCAATAAGAAATAAGACTGTCTGTCTGTCTGTCTGTCTGTTCTATCTTTCTATCTTTCTATCTTTCTATCTATCTATCTATCTATCTATCTATCTATCTATCTATCTATCTATCTATCTATCTATCTATATATATATATATCTAATGTCTGTCTGTCTAATCTGATGGCACTATAATCTGACATTTGATTCTGTGCAGACTTACCTTGTAAACCCCAGTCACTGTATATGCATGGCCTTGAACAATGCCATTGGGTAATACTGTGTTTTCAGATGTTTTCTGATATGGTATGAAAAACAGACATTGAATCAATAATGCTGCCCGATGAAATATGTATCAGGAAATAGGAACAGATTGTTTTATGTACAGCTAATGCTCTACATTGTTCCCTATACATCTTACATTGTAAAAATGTTCACTATATTAATTTGTATTTAATTGAACATTGAAATCTTTAATGCAAAATACTTCAGTGACAGAGCTTTAGCTGGACATGGTGATAACATCTATCACGGTAATGAAAGGACAAGCCTGAGGTCACTGCTTACCCCCAGAAAGGTGCCACAGGCCATCAGAGCCTTTGCTTTTTCTGCACGGTGCATCAGGCTCCACAAATCAATAGAGGTTGTTGCTGTTTCATAGTGCACGTGGACGCCACCAGTGAAGTCCAACAGCGCCTCAGACACAAGACCAGCGTGCATGTCAGCATAGGAGCCGCACACCCTATAAAAGCCATTCTACATTTCAATATACAGTGGACCAACAAGCCTTTAATGATTGATTCTGTGGGATTACTCAAATTGTTGATGATTAAAATAGACCAGGGGTGTCCAATCCTGCTCCTGTAGGAACACTGTCCTGCAGAGTTCAGCTCCAACCCCAATTAAACACACCAGCTAATCAAGGTCTTACTAGGCTTACTAGAAACTTCCAGGCAGGTGTGTTGAGGCGAGCTGGAGCTAAACTCTGCAGGACAGTGGCCCTCCAGGACCGGGTTTGGACTGTTATCATTGTGACAATGTCTAATACTTCAGAACCAGGGTACATACAAAACATAAAAAGGGCCAACATCTCTTGTAATTATGGTTACATAATATTTGGTAGCACTTTATGGTAACACTTTATTTTACACTGTCCTTGTTACATATTGTATGTTACATGTACTTACCATAGTAATAACAGTAAATTATGCTTAATTACATGCAATTAACACTCATCCTAACTCTATAGTAAGTACATGTAGTTGCTTAATATTACTCAGGACTTAAATGTAGAATTACACTGTAATAAAGACACCTTAAAATAAAGTGTAACCAACTTTATTTACAGTCTTGTTCCCCATGTACATATGTACTTACAATAGCAATTACAATAACTAACTAGGTACTAACTCTGAACCTACCCCTAAACTTAACATTTGCCCATGTGCAGTTACCTTATATTACCAGTGCTGTCTTGGGTAAGTACACTGTAAGTACACATACTGTAAAATCAAGTGTAACCTAATATTTTTATGTTAACTAAACAAACATGCTTTTATACTATGATAGAAGAATCATTTTAAGAATAAACCTACTTGGCATAAGCTTTCTCCAGCAAGGCAGGCCAAAACTCATTAGATGTTTTTGAATGAACAAAAATGAGCTCGCCATTGATTGTTGGCAGTTTGTCATCAATGACAACGTCAATCCATTTCCCAAACCTCCAGAACTATATGAATAAAGCAGAAGGCTTAAGGACTGATCATTTGATTTCATAAAATGTATTTAAGTTATTTTGAAAAAGACCAAAGAACTCACTCTAAAGCGAAATATCCCTGCATAATCTTCACCAAATGACTGGTCAACTGGCATGACGTGGTCCATGACATCCTCCTGAAAGGTTAAAGCTCCAACTGAAGCAAGAAACCAGCAGTCTCCTAAGGTAAAAGCACAAACATTAGCAAAAATAGATCTTTTATTGAGTTAACAAAAGGCACAATATAGAGTGATTCTATTTACTGCATAGATACAGTATCATTCAAAACCAACACTTACTGGAGTATATAAATAAACACAGATATAAACATACCTAAATAAGATCCTTGGGAATAGTCAAACCTGGAAACCCCCTTAACAATGAGTTGAGGGTCTGCCACTATTTTCTAGAGAGAGAGATTAATTAAATGAATACATTATAACAATGAAATTTGCCCTAAGCATTTGGGAACAACAGAAGACATTTAGACTGGTATAATGTATTTCGAATCTGCTTTCAAGACACTTAAAGGCACAGTACGCCTCTAGTCTAGAGGTCCTGTTTCAAAACAATAACAAAGGCATAGCTTGATGATGCGGTGACTGAACGTGGAATCATGGGAGTTGTCATCTTAAAATTACTAAAATTACTTAAACAACTAAAACACATTTGAGTTGTGTTGAAAGTTATGTTAACGTTACTCTGCGTTCGCTCGGTGGCTGGTTAATTGCAGTAAGCTAGATCAATATTAGAATATCATATTATTAAAAGCTGGGTGACTTGTGTTGCTAAATGGCATGCACATAATTTTAAAATATATTGCATGATGGAGAAAATGCTGTACTGTTACTATCAGCTCTTTCTGATTATTCCATGTTAGCCACTTGACAAAATAGCATTGTCTGTGAGGCATGCAAACATGTTACTCGCGGTAAATCAAGAAAACAAGAGATTCAAGCAATAAGACTAACCGTGTTGAACTATATGATTAGTTTTCTGACAATAAAAGTATCCAAACACAAATATGTCCTACTGGTAATGTGGATATATTACGTCAATGACACATTTTGCAACATTTGATGATAACAGGTATATTCAACAAGTTCTTATAGATCTGTTCAAACAATAATGTCTATATACTCTTCTTGAAAGTTTCTGAAGGTCTGAAGATGGAAAGTCAATACAGGACTTACTGATGGCCTCAACCATTTGATTTGTTCCATATCCAATCCAAGTTTCTTCTTTGGGTCAATGGAGCTGCTGTCTGAAGGGAACTTCTCATCAACATATCTCCTGTTATTGGTGAAGCAGCTCTTCTTCAACTCCTGGTAGTCCTGATCCAAGAATTTCAAAGGGACGTCAAGAGTGCCCGTTTTGTCTCTTGTCGGCTGTTCATCCCTGGCTATTCTGTTCACACGAGGTGGTGGCATTTTTACAGCTGTAAAAAAATATATATAAAGAAAAACAGATAAAAGTGTCACATCTATCTGGCATCTGTTACTGGTGAGATGACACAACACTATGCTATAAAATGTTTTGTTTCCAACGACCTAAAAGAGATAAGAGACTCTAGGCTTGTTAGACCTGTTTGGGAGGGAAATCTTGTCACTTTGGAAGACACATCTAGCTTTTAAGAGACTTACAATATAATTAGTGATTAAACTCAGTTTTTAAGATATAAATGATATACTTCACCTTCAAGGATAACAACTCACCTTTGAGCAGTTTTCTCTAGGTTTGACCGATTCTCTTTGTTCTGCCCTAGGCTCTGGATTTCCGTGCTCAGAGCGAATGATGCTTTCAGGAAGGGTGTAGAGCAGTGTGTTTTATGTTGCTCAGGGACACTATTGCGTAAACTGAAAAAGACTTCCGAATTCCTCCCACCTGTGCAGTTGCGTAACAGTCCCATCATATATAGCCTTAACTCTAAAAAAAATTGTATATGCAAATGTACACGAAAGCAGTTTGATCTTATATAGCCAAAATAATGTTTTTTTTTTTATAATATTGAATTAATAAAGAAACTTCATCTGACTTATCAATAAAGTTAAAATGTTATATAAGATCATGAAAATACAGAAACTCTACTGATCTCTTTACAAATCTCGCACTCAAGTTCTCACCTGAGACATCCCTTAAAAATTGTATTCAAATGTGCTACTGGTATACTTTCTTTTAAATAAAAAAAAAAGAAAGTATAATTTCAGTCTACTTTTTATGGGCTTCTCAGAAATATACTTTAAATTACACAAGTATACTTGACTTAAACTGACAGAAAAGTATATTTGGCCTATACTTGTACTTAACCTTTTGATCGAGATATACTTAGTTAAAAGTATAATGAATTAGTCTAAGCATACTTAGGTTGTAGTTGTGTTTGATTGAGTAGCCTTTACACATAGTTTTACATACTGTCTTATAAACTTACATTGTTTTATTTATAAAGAAAACAGATATGTTCCTAATTGTATATGAGTATATATATATGAGAGTATATATACAGTATGAGTATATATTTTGTGTAGGCTATAGTCTACTTACTTGGTTTACTTTCTATCTACTTTACTCTTTCCCATCCCCACCATTGACGGAATTTTCCGTCATTTATGACACAATGCTTCCTGACGGATTTCACTGTTTATGGTTGGGGGAATAAAATTTTGAACCCATGAAGAGGTAATGACTATAAGTTTGGGGATGTTGATGGACTCTATCTAATCCATCTGTATTTTGATCATTGTTCTGAATCCGTAGCATTTGAAAAAACACAATTTTCTCAGCTTTTTGTTCAAAATGTTTAAATAAACTTAAACACAGTCAAGTGTTGATAAAAAATATGCATGAAGCTAGAGTACAATATTTTTGTTTGTTTGTGGAAAAACAGAGGTTCTGTTCTTTCCTTTGATTTATTGTATGTTCAGATATTCATACAAAAAAATATTGTGGGGGCCATGAAAGTTTTCTGAAAATTATTAAAAAAAATTGACACTGGCTGGCAACTGTAAAAAAAAAAATGCTGGCGGGAAAAGTGTTAAAATACAGTTAAACATTTCAAGTCAAATTAATACCTAAATAGGAACATAGTAAAGTGCAAAAAAAATACATAAATAGTAAACTAAGTATGATGTAATGAAAACTTTTAACTTGCTGTATAAAACTACCAAACTAATAGTTTACAGAGAGTATACTTCAAAGTGTACTTTCATAAGTTAAAAAATGTGCTTCAAGTATTTGACTAGTAAACTATCAGTATACCTATAAGTTCACTAGTAGTACAAGCAGTACAAATGTAAAATCTCAAAAAGAGAGCACAGAAGCACCATCTGGCCATTCTTATCTCTTCCCCCTAGCTCCTCACTCCCTCAGTCAGTCATGCATATCTCACAAATCTCATTGCTTTTCATCCCCGAAACCAGGCGTGACCCTTTGTGAATGAGAGTAGATCCAACAAAAGATTCATAAATATTTGGGTGCTAAATGTTTACAGGTCTTTTGTTCCATTTGGGTATTTAAAGAGATTTGGAAAACCACTGAAGAAAGCATCTGTAAGCAAAACTTCCAGCACAATTGCTGTGTGTTTCTCTATTGCCAGGTGTGCTGACACATTGAAACTATATGTTTAGTATTCAGGGTGTCGCCTTGCAGTGGTTGGCCTCTTACCTCAAAGACAGAACTTTCTCAGTGAGCATTGGGAAGTTTTCTTCTTGCTCGGTTCCCCTATTATGTGGTGTGCCCCAAGGGTCCATTCTAGGCCCTCTTCTCTTTCCACTTTATATACTACTATTGGATGTCATTTTTAAGAAATATAGGATTTCCTACCGTTGCTATGTTGACGATACACAGTTTTATCTACCCGCTAAAACTGACCGTTTTTATCCTTTGGACGTGCTCTGCAACTGTTTTGAGGAGATCAAATGTTGGATGGCTAATAATTTTTTGCAATTAAATGAAAGCAAAAGCAACATTTTGATTTCTTTTTAATTTAGACTCAATTGCCGCCAGTGTTCAACATGTAAGGAATATTGGGGTTACATTTGATTTGTCACTAAATTTTTAGAAACAAATCAGTACACAGTGGTAAAGGGCAGTTTCTTTCATCTGAGATCGGTTGCGAAATTAAAACAGTTTCTACCTCAGAAAGATTTGGAGACCGCAATCCACGCTCTCATAACATCACGTCTGGACTACTGTAATTCCCTGTCTCAAACTGCGATCTCTCGCCTGCAAATTGTCCAAAAAAAGCGAACTGGCACAAAAAAGAGAACACATTTCTCCCATTTTAGCGACTTTACATTGGCTTCCTGTAAAGTTCAGAATTGATTATAAAATTGCTGTATTTATGTAAAAGGCTTTATCTGGCGTTGCACCAAAATACATTTGTGACCTTATGATTTCTAACTCTACCCAAAGAACACTTAGATCTGGTAATCAGCTTCTCTTAACTGTCCCACGTGTTCGCTGTAAAACTAAGGGTGGTCGAGCCTTCTCTTCTGACACACTTTGGAACAGTCTGCTCTTAAATGTGAGGTCTGCTCATTCATTAGCCAGTTTTAAATCGGCTCTTAAATCTCATTTGTTCTCTCTGGCTTTTGATTAGATTATATTTTTTTACTGTATTTTTTTTATATTTTGTATGCTGCATGGTTTCTTTTTATGCTTTCTTTTTATATGCTCAATGTTTAATTGTACAGCACTTTGGTACAACTCTGTTGCTTTTAAATGTGCTATAGAAATTAATTTTTGAACTGTGTGTAGTATTTTATGCGGATCTGTTGTGCGCCATGTATTATTTTTAATTGATGTTTACTTGTGTTAGGCAAAAATAATTCTGGATTCTTCTGAATCATTATGAACTGTAAGTGGAATCTGGTGTTTCCACAAATCTGCAGCCAGAATAGGTCAAATTAAAGGCCCAATGAAAGGAGCAGTAGGCACAATCATCTAAAGACCTTTGATTTCTTTCTATCACTGACTTAACAAGTTGCAGTATTGTGACTAAAATAACTGCCTTTTTGTATGAACAAGCATGGAGCGGTGGACTCAAATGCAATAGAAAACCCTGCCCCCTTTGACCAAGGATAGACTTACTATGTTTTCAATGGCATCCGCTGTAAAAAAAAAAAAAAAAAAAAAAAAAAAAGAATTAAAAAAACACCTAGATCATCTCACACAATTTTCCACAGCTCATGTTGGCTGAAGGTTTTTTTTTTGTTTATACATTTCTTAGAGTTTGTAAAAGGTTTTTCCTCCCACCTGTAAATTTGGCAAACAGTGAATTCCACCATATATAGCCTTACCATGGACACAGAATGATGGGAAAACAAGTAATGTTGTTTGTAAAATAAAGAATTAATAAACTCAATCCTCGATCATGTTCCCCCCAGAGACTTTATATGAGAACCATAAACCAATAAATCCAGTCCATGCATTATTTTAAATAAATAAATAGTTTATTTAGTTCATCTTTTGTGTAGAATAGGGAATACCAGTTAAGATCAGGTGGTCTGATGAAGAATCCTTTGAACAATCATTATTATTAGTATTTGGTACAGTAAAGCACTCTAAAAATCCTAATAGCATTTTATCCCCAAAGACAATTGGGGTTATATATTTATCTTTTCCTATTTCAAGTTTCTTTTAAAAATCTTGCAAATGAAAGGAACAAGCTGATGAATCTCTAGGTTTTTGTAACATATATTCACTTAACCAAACTGCTTTACCATCACAATAAAATAAATCCCTTAAATTTTCATTTTAAAGTCATAATTTATATTTTATAGATTTAACAAAAATCTAAATGTTTCCCCCTATAGGAAAAAATAACATCTGCCTCTGTAATTAATTGTGACTTCGAAAACTAAAAACATTAATATGAATCTAATAACTAAATCATACATACTTAAAATTTAAATCTATAAAGATCCGTATTTGCTGAAAATTCAGTGTTTTCTGCTATAGATGTAGCTCTTTAAGTCTTAAAAAATTATGAAACATACCACTTAACATCTCCACTGTAGTCTCAATGCATTCAAGGGCCCAGAATAACACTGGACAAAACTGGAAAAAACATAATAATACTGAAACATCACACACATCAAACATGACACTGAAACTGAGCATTGTCTAAAAGCTGTTAAATGATTTAGTATTGACAAAAATGTTTTGGTGAAGTTTAGACGGTGATTAGCCTATTTACAGATCACACTCAGTTTAACATTATTTGAATTGGTGTAAAAAATAAAATTAAAAAAAGCACACTGGAGATTTATTGTCAGTTTAACATAGTGCACAATGCACACGCAAAACCATTTGCTTAAACTTGTTTGTCTGAAAACACACTTGGGCTCACATTAAGGCCAAATTCCCAGACCATATAACATGCAAAAAATGTTTTTTTTTTATAATAGGTACAATGACAAACACTGCAGTCTATTAAAACACAAACATACATTCAGAGGCATTGAGGTAAAAGGCATTCAGTCGACTCTTCGTCGCAGGTGGAGAAGACGAATGTCAGGACTGTTGAACTCTGGGTCTTGTTTCTCAGGTGGGATCTCCTCTGACTGGAACTCTTGCAGAAGTAGCTATGAAACAGTGTATTAGATGAGAAATTAGAAAATAGCAGATTTAGCCTGACAAGAAATTTAACTGGCCTTTTATTCATGCATTTAAAGGGAATCAATTATGCAAAACATAAATGGGTGACCAAACGTCCTGTTTTCCCAGGACATGTCCTGAACAACCTAGAAGCTTTGCGTAGTTTCACTACGTGAAATATCATGGCCAAACAGAGAAGGAAATTAGTTGAATAAAGTCGTTATTTTTGTTTGTTTTTTTGTGCACAAAAAGTATTCTCGTCGCTTGATAAACTTAAGATTGAGCCACTGTAGTCACTTGGACTATTTTAACGATGTCTTTCATAACTTTTGGGCCGGTCAGTTCCAATCCCTTAAGAAGCCTATGGAGGAGTGATCCGGCTCTCAGATTTAATAAAAAATATCTTAATTTGTGTTCCGAAGATGAACGAACGTCTTACGGGGTTGGAACAACATGAGGGTGAGTAAATTACTGACAGAATTTTCATTTTTGGGTGAACTAACCCTTTAAACTACATTTTGTAAAATGGTGGCATAATAGGTCCCCTTTATTATATATTCTACTGATCTAACACACTCTCATTAAAGTGTGCCACTAAATATGACAATGTATAGTTAGGTGTAATAGAGGATTTTACAGTTTACTTCTCTCACCTCAAAGAATCTCTTCTCTATTTCAGGATTGACACCAACAGTGCGCTGCTCATAGCAACAGATGATGCACGTCTCTGGTCCAGCCAAGAGTTTCAGAGTCTCCACTAGTGGCTCCACAGACTGTGGAATATAAAACACAGAGGGTATTAAACACTAGTACTGTTAACAATTCTGGAAGGTAGAGCTAACTATTCAGAGCAGCGCCATAACAGGTATGAAAGTGAGGCTGTGAGGGATTAGACTTACCGTGTTTTCAATGGCATCCGCAGTAAAAAGCTGCATAAAACTCGCAGATATTTATTACTTATAATTTTCCACAGCTCATGTTGTCTGGAGTTTTTTTGTCTACTGAAATTTCTTGGAAAGGTAATTTTGCAGTGTTTTGACAGCAGAACAACCAAAAAACACATTAAAGTATGTATATGTACACTCACCGGCCGCTTTATTAGGTACACCTGTCCAACTGCTCGTTAACACTTAATTTCTAAGCAGCCAATCACATGGCGGCAACTCAGTGCATTTAGGCATGTAGACATGGTCAAGACAATCTCCGGCAGTTCCAACCGAGCATCAGTATGGGGAAGAAAGGTGATTTGAGTGACTTTGAACGTGGCATGATTGTTGGTGCCAGAAGGGCTGGTCTGAGTATTTCAGAAACTGCTAATCTACTGGGATTTTCACGCACAACCATCTCTAGGGTTTACAGAGAATGGTCCGAAAAAGAAAAAAACATCCAGTGAGCGGCAGTTCTGTGGGCGGAAATGCCTTGTTGATGCCAGAGGTCAGAGGAGAATGGCCAGACTGGTTCGAGCTGATAGAAGGGCAACAGTGACTGAAATAACCACTCGTTACAACCGAGGTATCCAGCAAAGCATTTGTGAAGCCACAACACGCACAACCTTGAGGCGGATGGGCTACAACAGCAGAAGACTCCACCGGGTACCACTCATCTCCACTACAAATAGGAAAAAGAGGCTACAATTTGCAAGAGCTCACCAAAATTGAACAGTTGAAGACTGGAAAAATGTTGCCTGGTCTGATGAGTCTCGATTTCTGTTGAGACATTCAGATGTTAGAGTCAGAATTTGGCGTAAACAGAATGAGAACATGGAACCATCATGCCTTGTTACCACTGTGCAGGCTGGTGGTGGTGGTGTAATGGTGTGGGGGATGTTTTCCTGGCACACTTTAGGCCCCTTAGTGCCAATTGGGCATCGTTTAAATGCCACGGCCTACCTGAGCATTGTTTCTGACCATGTCCATCCCTTTATGGCCACCATGTACCCATCCTCTGATGGCTACTTCCACCATGTCACAAAGCTCTAATCATTTCAAATTGGTTTCTTGAACATGACAATGAGTTCACTGTACTAAAATGGCCTCCACAGTCACCAGATCTCAACCCAATAGAGCATCTTTGGGATGTGGTGGAACGGGAGATTCGCATCATGGATGTGCAGCCGACAAATCTGCGGCAACTGTGTGATGCCATCATGTCAATATGGACCAAACTCCCTGAGGAATGCTTCCAGCACCTTGTTGAATCTATGCCACGAAGAATTGAGGCAGTTCTGAAGGCAAAAGGGGGTCCAACCCGTTACTAGCATGGGGTACCTAATAAAGTGGCCGGTGAGTGTATATTAAAGATATGTATATCTAGCCCTCACATTCTCACTTTCATTCCCGTTAAAAATCAAAGATGGCGCTGCTGTGAATAAGATCTATTGCTGTATGGGTAACACAAGTTATAAAAAAAAAGTATATATATATATATATATAAGTGTAATATTGATTGTTATAGTACCTGCTCATAGTAGATACAATCAGCCATCAGAATATAATGAGGATAAGGTAGAAAATCTTCAACACTTTCACCCCTTTAAAAAGGAAAATATTTTAGTTTCATTACTTGTTTTCATGAATTGAAAACCTTTCATTGTAAGGACAAAAAACAACATATTTTTCAATACATTTTCATATAAGAAAATATGGAAAAAAATTGTCCCATCCTAATTTTTTTCCCCCAAATCTTTTGCATTCCCACGCAAAATTGTTGCGCTCCCTCGCAAAGATATTTGCGTTCCCACACAAAACCCGTTGTGAGGTCGGACAGACCCTTCCTGTTTAATGTCCCGCTGGCAGTGTTTCAGAGCTTCTTACGTTAAAGGGGTGGTTCAGAATTTTGGACATCAGGCCTCATTTCCAAGTTAGCCTTACTGTTATTTATCAGTGGAGACAGTTTTCAAAAAATTTCATCCAGTCGTTCCAGTTGCATAGTTCGCCGGTGCTAGGCTAGCGTGAGTCAACGGTAACTGCTAGCCTGTCATTAAAAACAGTTTTACCCACTCCACAGTACACCAAAAGCAAATACATTATAACGCCAGACTATCGATGTAAATGTCTGTTGAGAGAATAATGTTAGAAATCAAACTGCCCTTTCATCGCATTGCAATAGTTATACTTTGTTCCCTGTATTTATTAGCACAGTCTACAGCAGCGGCGGAGGGATATGTAGTTACCTAGGCAACCGAGAGAGGTAGTGAGAGAGAAAGAGGTGAGAGAGGTATTGCAGGTAGTTCTGACTGTAGTGCGCTTCGGTTCTGTGTTTACTTTTTTGGCGCAGTACTACTAACCGGAGCAAAGTAAAATTCCGCCGCTGCTGAGAAACTAGTTCCTGTAAATGTATTGCGATCATTGAGATGCAAGAGTAGTTTGATTTTTAACATTATTCTCTCAACAGACATTTACGTCGATAGTCTGGCGTTATAATTTATTTGCTTTTGGTGTACTGTGGAGTAGGGCTGGGGCGGTATGGATTTTTTCTAACCGCGGTTGAAAAGCAAGATATTCCCGCGGTATAGCGGTAAACCGCTTTAAACACCCAACCCCACCCCCCACCCCGACAGACTTCCGCGCACCGCGCACTCACCAGAAGGCGTTTTTGCTAGACAGACTTTGTTAAATATTTTCACCTACATCCGAAAAAAAACGAGCACAATTTGAAAGAGTCCAATTTTCATTAAGCTGTAATTTGGCATGAACCAATCACTGAATAGATTTCCTTATTTAAGAATATTCTCAGATACATTCGCATTGAATTCATAATTTTCAGGAGAATACATTATGATGTTGAACGAAATGAAAGATGAACACCTTTTCCAACATGTCTTAATTACAAAAATTATATTCCATATTTATGTTAACATAATATAATGTTATTTTTTATTTAATCTATGTCGATTATATGAAAAGTGAACACCATGAGTAAGATAGGATCATAAGATGGGTCAGACATGATTTTGACCACTTTATTAAGTTTTGTTTTGTAGAAAGCCTTTCTTTAAATAAAATTTCGTTTTGTATAAATTGTATCTTAATTTTAATCACTGTTTCATTAACTAATTGCCTGGAATTATACAAATAGCAGACATATAATCAGGACGATGTGGAAGCGACGGTGCGATCTCTTGCGCGTGAACTGGAGCTCGTCTCATAAATGAACCGAAACTCGTGCGCCCATCGGAGACGGAGTTCACTGCTGATATTCTGAGGATACAACATTAGCCAATAGGCTATACTAGGGACTTTAGCCTTTAAATATCTTTGCTGCATGCGCAGTCTCCTTTCTAGAACAGCCAAGAGCTTTCTAGCCTCGCGGCAGCAGCGCCTTGCATCGCTCATAGACCTTAAAACTGTTCAAAAAATTCAAAAAAACGAAAATTGATCAAAAAACGTTGGTGCGGATGGATGGCGGACAGATTGCGGATGAAATAATAATAGCCCATCCGCGCATCTCTAATACGAATGTAATGCTATGTGTCATGGAACATTGCGCTCCCAACTCCCGAAAGGGATTTGCTCCATCTTTTGATAAGTTTTGTTTAGAAAACCTTGAATCCATGTAAGAAACACTATCATTAGAAATAATCCATGTCACTAGAATCAATGAATCCATATCATTAGACACAACGTGCACACATGTGCAGGCCAAGGTTTTTTTTTTTTTTTTTTTTTTCGGTGATGACGGTGACGAGCTCAGACCCGCGGTTGGAGTCACGTGACCGCGGTATTGCGGTAATGCGGTAACCGTCCCAGCCCTACTGTGGAGTGGGTAAAACTGTTTTTAATGGCAGGCTAGCAGTTACCGTTGACTCGCGCTAGCCTAGCACCGGCAAACTATGCAACTGGAACGACTGGATGAAAATTTTTGAAAACTGTCTCCACTGATAAATAACACTAAGGCTAACTTGGAAATGAGGCCCGATGTCCAAAATCCTGAACCACCCCTTTAATGGAGCGTTTTATAGTGTTTGAACTTGGACTCAAATATAAAGAAATGCGATCAGTGCTTAACTCAAGGACAAGGAGTTCAGTGAAGTTGGCAATATTTTCACATAGGAGAATTGGGTTTTAGCTCATTGTCTAGGTTACTGTGATTGTAAATAGGTGTCGTTTGTGTTTTAACAACGTTTAGCTCAAGAATATTGATCCGGGAAGCACGAATAGCCTATGTGAATATATTGCCAACTTCACTGAACTCCTTGTCCTTGAGTTAAGCACTGATCGCATTTCTTTATATTTAAGTCCAAGTTCAAACACTATGAAACGCTCCATTAACGTATGAAGCTCTGAAACAATGAAGTGTCTGTCCGAGCTCACAACAGGTTTTGCGTGGGAACGGAAACATCTTTGCGAGGGAACGCAAAGTTTCTCGGGGGAACACAAAAGTTTTGCGAGGGAACGCAAAAGATTTGGGAAAAAAAAATTCCCCCATCTTAATTTTTTCCCCCACCACCACCACGTCCCTTTAGGGGCTCCGTAGTATTTAATATAAGAAAAGTCATAAATGTTTGGAATGACTTAAGGGTGAATAAATTATGACAATATTTTAATTTATTTGTGTGCAATATGGTCATGTGTTCATGTGGGGGCAACTAACTTTATTTGGAAGAAAACTTTTTTAAAAAAAGTATTAATTTATTTTGATGCAAAACTTTTATTTAGTAAACCTTGAATGTAATGAATAAATAGGTTTCATAGCTAAGGATAAAAACACGCACCTCCCAAAAAATATCCTGTGGTGTAGGATGAAATGCAGTACAAACCATTTCAGTACCTTGGCTGTGATTGAGCCTGTACGGATGAGTTGCTGATTTTTCTCAATGTTCAGCTTTAGGAGAGGCTGCAGGTCTTCTAGATCTGTCACTGTGACATTTGCCCTATGGGTGCACATTAACGTTACTCAGGTTGAAATCCAGCCAAAACACTTTTAATCAGAAGAAAGAATAATAAATTAAATCCTATAACTTTCAGAATATAATAAATTCATTTTCATCAGTTGTTTAAATGGCCACATCACATCTAATCTATTTTAAATAATGTTTATATGACACAGCATTCATAACTCACCCCAGAGTTGAAGCCACGAGACCAACTAGTCCTGTTCCTGCACCCAGTTCAACAATGCTCTTGGAGAACCACGTACTAACACCAGACTGAATACTGCAAAATTGTTCCGTTTCTAGGTATTTTGACAGGACAATAGCAGCGTCCCATACTACACAGCCAACGTCCCCTTTGCTGCACTGATACATTCTTAAAATAGACCCGTCATTTTTTTCTATTTCTCTAACAAAATAATCTTCCGAATCCTTGTCAGTCGCCATGTTCTTTAGACCGCTGAACACTGCACGCATTCTACGTCACGCTTTTACGTGACGTCTGATTCGCGAATCATTCGTTTGAACAGGTTCTTTTCACTGATGGACTCAAATCGACGTTTGACAGTTATTCATAAGTGGTAGGCTGTTTGTGTAATGTTGGAATTTTTTTTGGCTATGCGTTAATCTGTTTGTTGAACTGACATTCAAGTGGTATTTTAACTTTTAGGTTTTCACCGTCACAGAATAGACCTTATTCACAGCACCGCCATCTTTGGGAGGCTGTGAGGGATAGATAGACTAGCCTACATCTATATCTCGTTATTGGGTTATCGTTATAGTACTATTAAATGTATTTTTGAATTGTTCTGCTGATGAAACACTGAAAAACATATCTATCCGAGAGATTTCACTTGACAAAAACAAAAAAAAAAACAGACCATAGCTGTGGAAAAGTATAAGTGATCTAGCTGCATATAGCTTTTTACTGCGGATGCCATTGCAAACCGGTAAGTTCATCCCTCACAGCCTCGCTTAGCTTACATACCTATAATGGCTCTGCTCTGAATAAGGTCTTAGCAAACAACTGTCCGACAGACTAGAGGAATGTCTTGCGACTGACATCAAATAGGCCTAAAAACATCCCCAAAAGAACTAGCTAGCTTGTCTAGTTAGTTGACTTATGGAAGCTAAAGCACGTGTTTTTCAATTGTCATAAAGAAGAACTACCTGACTGACTTCAAAATATTGTAGTTTTACCGTGTAGGCTATTTGAAACGGCTTAATGCTATTATTTATTTAAGTAATTTTATTGTTTATTATTTGCTCCATTGCAGCTTAAAGTCTCCATAAACAACTGATTAGAAATAAAGTTAATTGAGTTTATTGTCAATGATATGCAGTCAGTGTGTGTGTTGTAGCCTACAATATTTTCTGTACCATTTTGATTACTTGATCAATAGTTCATATTTTAATACTCATATAACACTTCCGTTTTTGTGAAAGGTAAACCACATTTGCATGATGTGTGAGAACGTGTATGTGACTGATGTTTAGTGAAGTTTATAGTTTTGTGCTGCATTCTACCAAACATGGTGGTTTTATATGGTGCCACTAGATGGCAGTGTAGACTGATTCATAGGCCTACAGGTTTTCTAAGGTTTGTAGCATACAGTGATGACATAATTGTCATCTATTATGTACAAATGTAAAACAGAGTAACTACAAATTTAGTAAAAATTTTGCTATTACCAAAAATTAGCTGGATTTAACTCAACTACAGTATGCTCAGATTCAGAGAAAATGGATTATATAATTAGTATCAAATTGATGTGTCCCTTCCAGAATCTTCACTACATAGGACGTTGGTGTTGAACTAACTCTTCCTGTTGAGATCCAGACATTTTGATCATCCACTCTGACTGACATACATAAAGCACTCAAATTTGGTAAATCATACTTGCTTGACGTGCAAGAACAAACCTCCATTGATTCTTGCTGAAGCTCAAATGTGTTTGCGAGACACGTGACGCAAGAACAAATCTCATTGGTTCTTGCATAAAGCACGCATGCTTGCACTTCTGTTTTCCATATTTGAGTGTTTTATGCATGTCGCTAACGCTGATCAATATTTATCTGTGAATAAAAATCAAAATTAAATATATTCATCATATAAAGCTATCGTGGCCCTTCAGAAAACTTGGACTAAACAGCTCGATTGATATGGATTTCTTTTACAATCTCTTTATGAATGTTTTGAATGGTTAGAGTTTTGGGTGAATAGGCCTAGACTTACTGGAGAGACAGAAATCTCACAGAGATTTCATTAAAAATATATTTTTGTGTTTCAAAGATGATGGAAAGTCTTACGAGTTTGGAATGACATGAGAGTGAGCAAATGACTGAATTTTAATTTTTGTGTGAACCAAGTTTCTAAGTTGTAGAAGAATGCTTACTTTCACATATATCTGTACTTCTGACTACTGCATCTTCTGACCAGGAAAGTTTCAGAATCACGTGCAGTATAGAGATCCTTCTCTGCCACCCTGAACCATGTGGACTCAGATGGGGTAGCCTTGACCTAGCGGAGAGATTTTTCTCTCTTCATGTGGTTGGCGTTTCTTTACAAGAAAACTGTGGTCCATCACTTCTTAACACACATGCAATGCCAAAACCAGCAACAGTGGCTTTTAGATTTTCAATCACCTGGCTGCTGAAGAGACAAGAGAGGGGCAGGATCTCTGTGTATCTGGAATAGCATTTAATCTGATACTATAATGTAATGGCATTTATTGTTTACAAAGATCAACTGCTGTTTTCTCCCATGGTCCGCAGGGTAATAGCGTGAGGTCAGCAGTTCCCCACTGAGCTGTCTGCTATGCTTACAATATGCCAATGGTTGCATTCTGGGCAGGAGAGCTCAGCAAGGCATTTTTGACCTGAAATACTGCATGAATGCACAATATTGTGCGTTGTAATGCACTAGAACATTATGATTTAGCTATGATGTTTATCTTTTCTCAGGCCGTAAACCATGCTTGTCAATGATGTGGAAATGTGTTTTTGCATTGTAATTTAAGTCCAGCAGGCTTTCGGATTCTCAGCAGTTTCTCGTGTTATTCTGTTTCAGCAAAGACAAGAACATTGTCTATAAACTGCTGCCCCTTATAGTCAACGAGAAACTAAAAGCTGTAAGAGTTTAAATTTTCCTTCCTGCTTAAACATCTTTTATTTTATTTAACTAGACCCATCTCTCTATCTGGTGCCCAGTTTGCCTTTTCATTAGCTAACCTGTCTGCTTCTCGCTTGTCTCTGCATGAGACTGACCTTGGCATTTGAGACTGCCTGCTGAGGTGGCACTGGCAGGGTGCTTTATTTCTTTGGTGACAGCTGTTTAAATGTCTCATATTATCACTTGTGCATCAGCTCCTGAGTCTGACGAGCTATTGCAGCTTATATGGTTGGAATTTGAAGATGATTACACAGGTTTTTTAAATATAATTTATCACTAAATTGCTGTTAATCCAACAAACATGTTGAGGGAGTAGTCATTTCTGCAAAATGATATTAAGGTTGCTTCTTCACGTTTCACAAAGTGAAATGTCAAGTCAGTGCACAGTATTATTCGAATACCTAACCGATATTGTTAACAAAAGTAAACGAGAGATAAAAACACATTTACTGAAGCAACATCGCCAGTTTAGCTTGTTTCTACAAATATTTGAGCTTTTTTTTTCTGACTAAAGTACTCGAGTGCAATGCTGTATCAGGTGCTCTACTGAAAATTTACGTGAGAAACCATATGGAGCTGGTTATGTGATATAAACATCAAAATGTAAGTAAGTTTGCAAGGAATTGTGGGAAAATTTGTGGGAAAATGAATAAAAGTAGTTTTACTGCCATGTTCATTTCAGCTGAAAATGGCCAAACCAGTTATTATTTGTCGAGGCATGAACTCCACAAGACCTCTGAACATGTCCTGTGGTATCTGGCACCAAAACATTAGCAGCAGATCCTTTAAGTCCCACAAGTTGCGAGGTGGGTAACTTGCAATCCCCAAACACACACATAACATTCAAGAACTGACTGTTTATTTGCTGCCTAATATATCCCACCCCTTGATAGGCGCCATTGTAACAATATAATCAATATTATTCATTTCACTGATTGTGGCTGATCAGGGTATATGTACGTATGTGTAGGTAGACGCAAGTTTTTCCTAATATTATTGATGTAATAAGACGAGATTTTTCTAATTGCAAAATTAGCACCAGAAACAATAGAACTTTGTTTTCCACACATAAGATAAGCCAGGGAAATATTGAGCAACTAAGAGCTAGTTGTTAGCTGTTAAAAATAGACATATATATTCCCCAGACATTGAAAGGGAGTAGGTCAAGTAGCTGTTAAAGCCAGCTAACATTCATTTTGGCTCATCGCCAAAATATTTATAAGCTAATCTTGCTTGAGCAACCAGTTTTAATATACAGAATATTTTTTCCAGTGATCTGAAAAAGTTCAAAGGTATTTGAAATATGGGTAAAAATAGGTGTTATGCCATAGACAGGACAATGTATTTGCAAGAATTTAATTGTAAGGCTATGGACAAAAACTACAACCAAATTGGCACTTAACTTTAGTGAGCATGCAGTTTCTTTTGAACAGCCCTGCAGGTTGCATGATGTTCTCTTTCATCATCTCGTGTTCGAGATCCACCTATGGGAAGGGCATCCGTACCTGACCTCTGCAGAAGCATCCAATTGCACCAAGTCTGGCAAGACAGACAGAAGCGCGGAGCCAATGCCAGGTAAGGCCCCACCCCCTTACCTGAGGGCATATAACGCCTGCAGTTCTACCAGAAAGACTCGGGAGATAGAATAATGTACAAAGCATTGATTTATTGACAGCCCAGCAAGCAATTATATATAAAGTTATTTGGCGTTGGCCCCGTCCGTAGTGCATAATCCAAGGGGAGCGGATCTGCATTTCCTGCCTGAAGACGAAGGAATGGGCACAGACGACCCCAGGGGAGGTATGGACAGGACCATCCTGATGGTGGTGGGGAGGGTGGAGGTAATTGTTACGTCAGCATCTGCGAACTCAAACATGTGTAAGTGCCGATCTTTTATACAGCAAGTATTAGGACATGATTAGATAGATGTGAAGGTAATAAGTGACGTAGTAATTAAGTCTTCCTGGCAGAACTTATGCTAAAGCTTTCATTTCTCCAGTTGACATTCGCTCCTCGCGATCTCAGCACATACACAGTGCGGTTGGATTTACACTGCTCACTTGCGTGTCTTCAGGAGGACATATCGCTAGATCAGCCTCCGGCAGACGTGACAGTCTTTTTATTCAGCCAGTTTAGCTGTGCTTGCATTCTGAGCCGCCCACGCTCTTCTTATTTTTTCACCTGCTCCCCTTTTCCACGGCAGACCGCCACGGATTTCTCTCAGTTCTTTCGCGGTATGTCGCTTTCCAAATCTGCCGCTTCTCCCGGAGACAGCCTATCACGGGCCTGCCCGGCCGCGTGTGGTGCACTGATCGCCGCGAAAGACCTTCACCCGTTCTGCGTGGTCTGCTTGGGCCTCAAGCATGCAGAAGAGGCTTTGAAGAACCCAGAGAATTGCAGCCATTGCCTTATGCTGCCGAAGAAACTCATGCAGTGCTGTCTAGCGTCGAGCTCGGCCTTTCCGACTTGGATGGGGGACACGGTGACGACGATGCGATACCAGGGGCTTCCCTGGGCGCAACGTCCCTCAACTGGGCTGTCCAGCCCAATCCTGCATTCCCCTAAGATGACATCTTTGCGGCAAACCTCTCGTTTGTCGATGAACCGGCCGGATCCGGCGACGAGGACGATGCCGGCCTTCTCAGGGTCTCAGAAGGCGAGGAGGCCATCCCGCGTTCTGGTGTTCCCCCAAGCTAACACCCCCTTAGCCTTACCCCAGTCCATCCTCCTGGACTTATGTGAGCGAGTGGCCGCTCGCCTCAACATTGAGTGGCCGGCTCCATAGAGCGTCACCGACCGTCTCAATTTCCCACAGAGGAAAAGGACATTTACGATGGGAAACTTGCGCAAAGCACATGAGCGACCAACTCGATTTAAAACACGGTCTTGCGGGCCTTGAGGTAAAGAGCCATCGAGCCTTCTATCGCCATGGCACCTTAACCCTGACCAGGGAGGGCTGCTCGCCGGTTTTGCCCAACAAGATGGACCGCTTTTGTGCCTCAGTGCACCAGGCCGCTTACAAGTCCTTGACCTTGGCTGTCAGGGCCCTTAATGTCTCTTCCCTCCTCTCCGCTTACCAGGCGGAGATTCTGGAGGATTTAGGGCAACAGTTGGACAAAGGAACCCTGTGGAAGAAGGTTCTAACTGTTTTCTGTTGTGGGAGAGTGTGCGCTCTGGCTTAACCTGTCGGGTCTCCCTGACAGTGAGAAGAGGTGCATTGCGGGCGCCCTGTTAGAGCTAGGGCTGGGTATCGTAACAAAATGTTCGATACCGATACCGATACCTTGACTTCGATACCGGTTCCTGAACGATACTTTTTTCTATACCAATTTTATGTAACCAGTTTTAACAATATAACATTACCTAATTTTTATTTTTATTTTTTCAGTTTGTTGACTTTTTTACACTCATATTTTGAGTATGTAAAAAAGCACCAATACTAAAGTTTTCTATGTTTCCTAATCATTTAACAACATGTATTCTTTACTTCAATGAGCTCATTGTTTCTGCCTTAACTTAATGCATTGTTTAACAATGAAAATGAATTGAAATGCATTACACTGTCACCTCTGATAACAGATCACTCTAAATTGTAATTTAGACACATCCATTTTCTTTAAAGCTGCTTTGAAACAATATGTATTGTGAAAAATGCTATACAAATAAATGTGAATTAAATTAAATATAGGCTACTGGGGGGCAGGATATATGCCTCGCGCTCAGCACACATGAAGCTTGCCGCAAAGCACTGGCAAAAGTAGCCTAATGATTATGGATGTGTCGGGGAACAATAGCAAGGAGGTATTTTATTTGTTTATTAATGAACAAGTTTACTAATGGTGTGTTCACTGTTCACACAGAAGGCGAATTTAATTATTTGCGCGAGTATACATACAAAGTCAATGCAAAGATGCGAATAGACGCCTTACCTGGCATTGGCTGCACGCTTCTGTCTGTCTAGCCAGACTTGGTACAATTGGATGCTTCTGCAGAGGTCAGGTACGGATGCCCTTCTCATAGGTGGATCTCTCCACTCAATGTTTCAGAGAAGTTACGAAAGTAACCTATTGGTTTTCATCTACATGTATGTATTAGCAAACACTTTTTTTTCAGTTCATGCATTCCCTGAATCAAACCCATAACCTTGAAATTGTGAGGGCCATGTGCTACTGTTTGCTTCACTGACACATTTTTAAAATATATGATCCTCTGAATGTCTTATGGGTTTCCTGAAAGGATGGCCAATAATTACATTAGACCTACCTTGTTGCCGTCACTCTAAGAAACCTGGATGCCAGATCTATATTTTTTACTTTATTGGTTTCATTAAATTATAAATTCTATCACCATTTTCAGAAAGAAGCTGGCAATTAATTTACTCATTTTTATTGCATATATCCTGTCTCTTTGAAGAACAATAAATACATATATGGGAGCTTTTTCATGCATTTATACATTCCATATTAGCCCATTCTGCAGCACTATACATGAATACGAATAAGAATTATTACATGCACTTGCTGATATCGTCACACTGTGGTTTCCTCAGGAACAAACTGAAGAATCCAATTATAGATACAAACTCAAACTTTAATAATAGTACTCTGGAACAAGCTGACAGGCAGGGAAAACAGATAAACGCAACAGCGATCAGACAAAGATTGAAATAAAAGGTGCATCTTAAATAGCAAACAGAAATGAGATAATTAATCATACACAGCTGGGACAAATGAACCTCATAATGATAGTAACCATAGAAACGAAGGAGTGGCGGGAAAAGAACAAAGGAAAACAGGAACCAATCAAAACACAAACTGAAAGTCCAAACATGCACTGACACGTGACAGATATCAAGCCACACTTTTATTCATCTGTTTTTACAGCTTTTCCATTAGTCTTATTTTGACAGGATTACAATCATTTGTAATAAATGAAGTCTTTCTTCTTTTACCTGATGGCATCGAATAATGTATGCTAACATAACTGATCAATCATTAATACAGACAAATAAAAACAATAAAACTAGCAACAACTACTGTTGTACATCACCCACCCAACAGATTACACATTTACTTTACAATTGAAAAACAGTGTTTAAACAAATAAAGGTAAAACAATTTCGTGTTTGAAATAGAATAATTCATAAAAACTAATAAAATTCTACTTTTTTTTCTTGAATTAACAATTGAAAGGAAAATAACCATAAAGACAGAAACAACAAAGGGTTTACCTCACCCTCATCAAGACATGTCTCCATTCTACTCTGAAGTCTCCTGAATATGTCTGTTGGAAAGAGTAGAACTTTACATCACAGAGCTGTACTTTATTCAGGCTTTTTTCGGGTTTCTTTCTACTGCTTCATAACTTACTCAAAGTGTGTCTCATTCTTTGAGAAAATAGACAAGACGAAGGATGCGGTTTCACCAGGATTCTCCGTGCACGGTACAATCAGGTACTCTCCTGGCTCCAGCCTGAAGAATTTCATAACCTCTCTGAGCCATACTAAACCATCAGTCTGTGCCACAGGCTCTCTCTCAATGAAGAACTCAGATGAAAACCTCCCACTCTGACTTCTCATCTAAAAGAGAATAATAAAATCTGTCTTTGGTTAAAAAAAGGAATGAATCTCTTCATAAAAGGACAATATGAGTATAATATTTGTATTATTTTTTCACTTGCCTCTAATGGTATCTGTAAAAGTAAAAGGGGAAAAAAGATAAAAACAGCTATCATGAGTCAAGTCAAGTCATCTTCATTTATATAGCGCTTTTAACAATGGATTGTTTCAAAGCAGCTTTACAGAGATAAACATATAATTTAAGGTAACAGAGATTGTTTTGGATTTATAGCGGTTCTTGAATAATGTTATTTCCAGCTAAAGAACATTTTGATTGATTCACCTCCGTCGAAATGATCATTTGTTATTAAATTAGGGGCCGCTAATATACTGACAGGGATATTGCAGATAATGCACACACAAAATCCGCTTTTTCTTTGCATTTCACCTCTGATAGCTTGTTTCTTAGTCTAATCTAATAAACCAGGAATTGTGCAGAATGTGCACTATGAGTATTGATGGCTCTGTGACAAATTGCTCACATTGTCACTGACAAAAGCATCTGCTAAATGCACAAATTACAAGCATTAATATGCATAGCTCCATCCGCCAATACTGACCAATAATAATTATTTTAAGTATTTTTGTATCTGTCTTACTTATACAAGCATTATCTATATACTGTAATCTTGCCATGCTGGAATTGATTGATATGTGTGGCAGAGCGGGTTAGACCCCACCTTGTTATTTGTGGCTGTCACATGAGTGATGGATGTGGCAGCCTATCGGCCGCTGTCCCTGGCCTATTTAAAGACTGTTTATGCCACCTGGTCATGCGTCATTGTTAGCTCCGCCCCTTGTTGCAGGCGCGCCGCCATTCAATGCTGGCCGTGTTTGGTTGGCAGCGCCACGGTGATGTGCAGGCTGTTCCGTTTTCCCAGGTAGGCTATAGGTAAATGTTTGTAATGTAGACTTGTGCAGCTTGCGGTAACCTACGTGCACTTCCTTCCGGTAAGGTTGTTTTTATGTGTACGCTGCTGTGAGCAACCATACGCTTATACAATTCCGTGATGATCAACTGGTATGTAAAGTTATTCTTTTAAAGTTTCAACTACTATTTAACTGAGCTAATCAACTGATGTCTGATGTTTTTAGCAGGATATTGATTCCTTTGAAGATGCTCCGTCTTAATGTGGACGTTGGGCTGATTGTTTTCTGCATAAAATCCATTTAGACTGCGCTGCTGTCTTGCTGCTGTTACTGTTTCTGTTGTATGTCTTCACCGCTACAACCATCGATCTGTTCACCGCTGCAGGTGCCGAAGTTGTGTACGTGGGCTCGCCCTTCAGTCATCTTATCATTGGCTGCCTGTGTGTTAAGTTGTATGTTTCTTTACTTTGTTTTTGGTTAGTTTGGATGTTGATTATTGTGAAATGTGTGTGTTAAGTTGCAACGTTGTTGCCCTGTGATTTGTGAACTTGTTTTGTCTACAAGTTAGTGTTCCTTTGTGGTGAGTGTTTGGTATCACCAACCACTCTGAATTTTGTTATTAGTTGTGTCTAGTATCATTTGTTTAGTGTGTTCATTAATCTTGTTTTTGTTAATTTTAGGCTGATGGACCCCGGGTTGGGAGGCTAGCTTTTCTTGCCTTCTGGTGGTGGTACTTCAAGCACTTAGTGTGGTTTGCCGCTTGTAACCACTTATACCTCACTGGGCGTGCGTGTGTGTGCGTGTGGCTTTTGAATTAGATACTTAGCTAGCCTACCCCACTATGGGTGAGCCTCAGCCATCTTAACAGTTATTTATTTTTATTTTCTCATTTATCGTGTGTGTGTGGATGAACAGTGTGGTACGAGTCATGTGTGTGACATTCTACCCTTACAGTGACCAGAAAGTTTTACCTATTGATGTGAACTTAATAAATTAACTTTTGTACTGATATCCACGTCTCTTTGCCCTCCATGGTAACGAACCTGTGTGCCCTATTTACATTGGGTAGTTATTTCCCCTCTCTCTGAAGAGGGGTGGCGTAGTCAGCTTGTTATTTATTTACCACTATACGATTTGGTACTTGTGAACCGTTTACCACTCACCGCAACGCTACATATGCAAGGGCTTTATGTGGACCTTGTTGGACCCTTTTGCCTTCAGAACGGCCTTAAATCTTTGTGGTACAGATTCAACAAGGTTATGGAAACATTCCTCAGAGATTTTGGTCCATATTGACATGAGAGCATCACACAGTTGCCGTCACACATATTTTCTCTTTTTCAGACCATTCTCTATAAACTCTAGAGATGGTTGTGCGTGAAAATCCCAGTAGATCAGCGGTTAATGAAATACTCAGACCAGCCTGTCTGGCACCAACAACCATGCCACATTCAAGTCACCTAAATCTCCTTTCTTCCCCATTCTGAGGCTTAGCAGATCGTCTTGACCATTTCTGCATGCCTAAATGCATTGATTTCTTGCCATGTGTTTGGCAGATTAGATATTTGCATTGAACAAGCAGTTGCACAGGTGTACCTAATAAGATGGCATATTTACATATAGAATAATAATACCTGTCTTAATTATGTCACCACCTGCTGTAGTCCCAGAATTCCATCTGCCAAAATGCCGTTTTGAGGTCCAGTGATATTCAGAGGAACCATCCAAAAAATCAGGACAGCTACAACAAATATCTATGCTATAAAAAAATATGGTGAAGTCTTCCATTGACATCCTGCCATAGAAAAAGTAAATCAAGTAAAAAAAAAAGTTAATCAGCCAAAAAGCGATGTATTATATGAAGAAGTCATTTGCTGTTTTTGAATTGAGGGAGAGCTGACAGGGGTCCTGGACCATAGAAGTTAATGGGCAATAAATCAAACCCTTTTCGTCTTCCAAAAAGTGATTACGGTGGGTGTACCCAACATGGTCATGCTCACCAGAACTCCCCGTTATTTAAGACTTCATGGCAAATTTTGCAGAGACCTCTTCACAAACTGTGTCCCACAAAGGTGATCTGTAAAATGTATACCCAAACATGGGTGCAATGTGATATCATGAAGCAAATACAAACAAAATAACTTGATATGCCCAAGTGATGACATGTAGAAGCAAAGTACAGCTTTCTGCCAAGTTTGTCAACTAATTGAAGCTGTTACTGTAACAGTTGTTACAGCTCTTACCCGTCACTCCAGTCTCCTCGCCACTCTTTTCTGCCCCATGGGTTTAACAATCTCACTAGATGAACTGGATTTTCATCACTCGTTACCTGTTGCACAAAGCCAGGAATTTTACAGCGGGTGAATCTCCATTTGTCACTGGTGATCGTCGTTTGAACCTTTCTGGATCCGCCATCAAATCGATAAGTTTAATTATATCAAGTGCTGTGAGAAAAGGCTATAAATCTCCACCTCCAGCATCCTCACACGCAATATAGCCTACTAGCCGAGACTCCTTCTTTATGTGTACAGATGTGACGTAATGATGCAAAGACATGCTCGAATCTGGAAATCCACCAGTACCACTGGAATTAAAAACATTATTACAAGCTTACCGCTTTGAATCGAGCTACGGCAAGCAGATACTTTTGAACAAAGCTGGTTATGTATTTTCTCAAATATGTATTTTGGATCATTTTTAACCCAAAAAAAGCTACAGACTGCAGCTTTAAATTAATTAAAATAGGAGAAAGATAGCTAAAATAAAAACTAGTGCCAGTAAAACAACAAAAACTTTGATTAATTTCACACAGTTTACGCATACATAGCTCAAAGAATTGTAAAGCAAACTAAATCAAAATCAATCACTGTACATGTTACTTTAAAAAGCATTGTGAAACGTGCAATGATGCCACAGGCATGTTTTCCAACTATACAACATTATAAACATTGTATTTCTTTTTTTATTTTTTTTTATTTATTTTTGTAATTTTATTTCTTTTGTTGTAAAGCCTGATTTTGTTAATCTGTTTTAGTTAACCCTGTAAATATATATATATATATATATATATATATATACGTATAATGTAAAAATGTTTCTGAATCTCAATTGCAGTGGGAAATATTCCCTTATCAAAACTCTGAGACAGACTGAAATGGCCAGATGCTTGTGCAGTCTCACCTCAAAAACTCCTGTCACAGTGTAAGTATGTTCCGCAACTATGCCACAAAGTATCTCGTTTTCTTCAGGTGTTGTCTATTGTTACACAAACACACACACAGACACACACACACGCACAAAAGAAAAACATTAAATAATAGTACATAGCTGATCACAGTATATAATTAATGAAAGAACTGTTTTATATTAATTCTATGAAGTTACTTGAAAACAATTCTATAAGCAGTTTTAAAATAAAAAAATGTTTGTGACAAACATTACATATACTCAATGATCCACCAATATTGTTTTTTTATTACTATTATATAATGAGTTTAATTAATCGTTGCAGGAAAAAGTATATGAACCCTCTGGTTTTACCTGGACTTTTGCACATATTAGTCAATTTTATTTATCTTTCATAACAAGTCTCCGTTTTATTTGTTTTAAGTTTGTCAGACCCAATTATGCTCTTTTTCATGTTATATGCACATGTATGCTTTTAAAACTATAATCATTTTTATTGATTTTATGACACTCCTTGGAAAGACCTAACAAATATATTATATGTTTGGCATAGCAAACAATATAGCAAACAATAACAATAGTTGTTAACAAAATTATGAAGCAGTGGGCAAGCTACTTGGAAAATGTAGTGAGCCATAACTATATAAAACAAAACCATAACTAAAAACCATATAACTATATAAAAGTATAACAAAATCAGGTGTCGAGAGTGTGTGCATGTTTCCATTAAGTAAATTTCTCATGTGTCAGCCCAAGGATTGAGACTGGTACGTGATGTCACCATCCGGAGCAGAAGGTGGTAGGAATGCACCAAAAAGCTGGTTGTAGGGCCCACTTTTTTTAGTTTTCTTGATTCCATTTTAATGGTTTAATTCAATTGTAATGACCAATGATATAAAATGTAATGATTTAAGCAAAACTTTCTTCAAAGGTTAAACCAACCTTTTATTTTTACGGGTTGCTGTGTAGACCTTATTTGAGTCTCTGTTTTTTTTATATATGACAATAGTTTTTCTCAAACGAAGCGGTACAATGCTGCTGAAGTGACTCTCAGAGCGGCTGTGTAGATGAAGTTCATGCATTCATGTCCTAATGGCTGAAAACATGCGTGCCTCAGTGTGTGTGTGTGGTAAATGAAACCGCGCATCTGCGCCATTCATTCACAGAGACACGCAGAACATGCATGGTTGATTCCTATTTAAATAGTTTTTATGCAGTTTAATATTCACAGACACTAGTCTATATCGCGATTTTATTTAGGTTTACTGACCTACTTTTCATCCAAGATCTGAGAAATTCCATGAAATTCCTTTACATTATAAAGTAAATTAAGTTTTTATGGATTCCGCCCGTGTTTTCTGCATCGCGGGAATGAAATCATATGGCCCTATGGTTGCCAGCCGCCGTAAAACACGAAGAAGACGAAGTCACCGTCACTTACTAATCCAGCATCAGTGATACTTAGCAGTTGTATTTCCGATTTGAGCTTGAGCTTTAGAAATGCTTGGGAAAATGTAGAGCTTGTGTGGACGCTACCGCACTACTTGATCAAAAAAGAGCTTCGCTACTGAAAAGCTATTTGATTCAGAAAACAGCCACGCTACTGAGAAGTGTAGTTTGTAGTGATGATACTGCCCAACACTGTTATGAAGTACTGGATGAATTATTGGATCCAGGATTTGGGGATTTCTTTCTTACCACTGTATTAGAGGAGCAACCTATAAGCGTTTTTGACGTGAATGCACATTCCATGATGTTCCACAAATCAGCAGGAGCTGTATTCAGTTCATAATACATATGCGTCCCACCAGTGAAGTCCATCAGGGCCTCAGATATGAAACCAGCATTCAAGTCAGCATAGGACCCGCACACCCTGTAAACATGCAGTAAACCAATAATGTAAACCATTTTAAACAACGCAAATCAATGAAGGATGACATGCAGACAGAATGATACCCACTTTGCATATGCTTTCTCCAGTAAGGCAGGCCAAAATTCATTAGACATTTTTGAACAGACAAAAAGTAGTTCGTCATCAATAGTTGGAAGTTGGTCATCAATAACAACATCAATCCATTTCCCAAATCGCCAAAACTGTAAGATATTTTCAAAGATTGAAAAATCAAATTGAATCAAAAGAAATCAAAAACTGAACTAAATGCAAAAAGGGGAAATATGACCCAAGAAATTATGAAAAACTGAACAGGTATTGTAGTCACCCTGAAGTGAAATATCCCAGCATAATCCTTGGTGAATGATTTTTCAGCTGGCATGACCTGTTTCATGATATCCTTCTCAAAAGTCAGAGCCCCAATTGAAGCCAAAAACCAACAGTTTCCTAAATAAATAAGGAATTAAAAATAGTCAAATATCTGCATTTTTTCCCATATGCAAAGTTTAATGGTTCATAAAAGTTATCAACATTTAGGTTTCATTAGGGCAGTATTTATAGTGTGCCATATAAAACTTTAACAGCCAATTGAAAAATATTGGTACAGTAAAATGTACTAAAATTTTGTATTTCACAAGATTTATTAGATCTATAGCAAATAGATCTTTATTAATTCATGCACTTCCATACTCTCGTATACTTAGTAAAATGACAGAGACAGACAAAGGAAATAGCACAAGCACGTAACAGTTTCTTGTGAGCATGCGACAGTCTGTAGATTTTTTTTATTTTTGCGAAGGTTTTAGGAGCTCTGTAGAAAATATGCACCAATTGTGTCAGACATGATTTTCATATAATGATGTACATTATTAGGCAAGTTTCACATCATCGTCACACTGTGGTTTCCTCAGGAACAGACTGAAGACTCCGATTATAGATACAAACTCAAACTTTAATAATAGTACTCTAGAACAAGCTGACAGGCAGGGAAAACACACATAAACACAACAGCAATCAGACAAAGAATGAAAGAAAGGGTGAATCTTAAATAGCAAACTGAAATTAGATAATTAATCATACACAACTGGGACAAATGAACTCATAATGATAGTAACCATAGAAACAAAGAAGTGGCGGGAAAAGAACAAAGGAAAACAGGAACCAATCAAAACACAAACTGAAAGTCCAAACATGCACTGACACGTGACAATCATATTGTGGATGATACCGGTGTAATTGTTATAATGAGACCTGAGTTGATATTGAGTGGAGAACAACAATGGTCCAGGAAACATTGTATAGTAGACATATCATACATGATACCACATATGTGAATAACTCAAACTTACCTAATACACTCCCCTGTGCATAATCAAACCTGGACACGCCGTCTACAATTAAATTAGGGTCTGACACCAATTCCTGATAAGAGAAAATTAAATGCAGTTCTTTCAATACCAAAACACGGACACATAAAATTAAGAGATTTGTTGTAATTTCCATTATGGCAGAAGGTATCAAATATTTAGAAAATTCTGTATGGTTAACATACGAATGGCCACACAGCTTGGGACATATCAGGCGGATCAACATCAAACAAGCCAATGGAGCTGTTGTCTGGAGGAAACAACTCATCGTTGTATAGTGTGTTTTCAGTGAGACAGTTCTGGAGAAGCTCTTGGTAGTTCTGATCCAGGAAGTTCAAAGGACTGGTAGGAGAATTCACAGCATCTTCATTTGGGTTGTGGTGGCACCCTGGGGGAGGCATTTTTCACTCAGAATCCTTTTGCTGCATGACAAACAAATACAAACACAGTTTGTCAGTGTGCACCACCTCATTTATAAGCACAATAGTATCAGTAATGTTTATTAGCATTGTGCTTGTGTATCAACATGGGTGCACATGGCTACAGTTCTTTACACGGTCAAATTAAATGAAAGACCCCTTACAAAGGGAATGTACTTGTCTCCGCCTATAGCTGGTGTGTGGGGATCGCACTGTGGCTGCCGTCGCATCATCCAGATTGTAAAACTCTTTGGCTGCACTCTTTGGTGGGTGAGGAGAGACCCCTGATATAATTGTACAGCTCTTTTGGGTGTACAACAGCACATAATAAAAGCACGGTAACACTTTACTTGAAGACTGTAGACTGACATAAGACTGACATGACACCTTCATAACCATGACATGACATATGTCATGAATATGAAGTAGGGTTTATGCATGTTTATGACAACTGTTATTAAGTGTCTTTCGCTCAATAATGACATTTTGAATGCAAATATGACACTGTTTAAGATGTCTTTGTTATGACATCTTGACATAAACCATAACATCATAACCTGTCAGTGTCTTTGTCCAACACATTCTCATCCCAAGGCGTCATCTAACTGACACTTGCCATGCCGACGCACATGGCACCCTTTAGCGTCAGTTAGATGACGCTTCCGTTATGGGTAGGTTTAGGTCTGGGGTAGGGTTAGGGTTAGACCACTAGGAGGCGCGTCTCATATTGACGCTTAAGGGGTACCATGTGCATCGCCATGTTGACGCATGGTCAAAAGCGTCAGTTAGATGACGCCTTGGGATGAGAATGGGCTGCCTTTGTCATTAAATTAAGTTAAACTGTCATGTGGTTGGTTTTGACATTGGCTGTCATCAGTCCATTATAACTGTGTCATGAATATTTTTCGTGACCTCAACTATAGTGGTACAAATTGAATTTGTCATTAAACAGTTATAATGGCTTCATGACAGCCAATGTCAAAACCAACCACCTGACAGTTTAATGTAATGTTAACCAATAAAGCTAAGTGGTTTGCACTATATAAATGCTTCCTTCCTTCCTTCCTTCCTTCCTTCCTTCCTTCCTTCATAACACTATTTAGAAGGTCTCCCTCTTCTTTTGCCCAGAGGACACGGCACCCGTGATTTCCAACAAGAATGTCAAATTTGGACTCGTCGGACCATAGAATACTTTTCCACTTTGAAATAGTCCATTTTAAATGAGCCTTGGCCCACAGGACACGACGGCGCTTCTGGACCATGTTCACATATGGCTTCCTTTTTGCATGATAGAGCTTTAGTTGGCATCTGGAGATGGCACGGCGGATTGTGTTTACCGACAGTGGTTTCTGGAAGTGTTCCTGGGCCCATTTAGTAATGTCCTTCACACAATCATGCCGATGAGTGATGCAGTGTCGTCTGAGGGCCCGAAGACCACGGGCATCCAATAAAGGTCTTTGTCCTTGTCCCTTACGCACAGAGTTTCTCCAGTTTCTCTGAATCTTTTGATGATGTTGTGCACTGTAGATGATGAGATTTGCAAAGCCTTTGCAATTTGACGTTGAGGAACATTGTTTTTATAGTGTTCCACAATCTTTTTACGCACTCATTCACAGATTGGAGAGCCTCTGCCCATCTTTACTTCTGAGAGACTCTACCTCTCTAAGACATCCCTTTTATAGCTAATCATGTTACAGACCTGATATAAATGAACTTAATTAGTTGCTAGATGTTCTCCCACCTGAATCCTTTCTAATTTTTTTGCTTTTTCAACCATTTGTTGCCCCCGTCCCAACTATTTTGAGACCTGTAGCAGGCATCAAATTTGAAATGAGCTCATTTATTGGATAAAAGTGTCAAATTTCTCAGTTTAAACATTTGTTATGTTATCTATGTTCTATTGTGAATAAAATATTGGCTCATGTGATTTGAAAGTCTTATATTTTTCATTTTATTCAAGTTTAAAAAACGTCCCAACCCCAAATTCGGGTTGTACTTTTTACTTTTGTACGGTGTCCTTGAGTGCCTCTAAAGGCGCCTATAAATAAAAGGTATTATTATTATCATATTGTATATACTGTATATTTAAACAGTACATTAAAGATGCTGTCAGAGAAAATCCCATGAATTCAGTGTACCATGTGAACTATGCCTTTGGCCTATGCCATGCCCATCGATTGCAACATGAATTTTTATAGGGGTGTTGCATCAGAGAGGAAAAACTCTGTTTTCAACTTAAAAGGTGAAACTAATATATTATATAGACTCATTACATGCAAAGTGAGATATTTCAAGCCTTGATTTGTTATAATTTTGATGATTATGGCTTACAGCTATGAAAACCTTTTCACAATATTCTAATTTTGAATTTGGGGTTTTCATGGGGAATAAGCTGCATTTCCAGCAGGAACTAGGGATTTTGGGATGGTACTTGGTGTGTTTCCAACGCAGGAACCAGGGTCTACTGTAAATGAAGTTGCGGGTAAATATTTCCCCCTCCGAAAGTCCCTGCTCGCAAGGTAGTACTTTTTCAAAGTTCAGGAACTTTCGGGAGTGGGACTCGGGCATTGAACTTGCTGATTTGTTGAGTTCATGCCGCATTTTGTTTGGTTGACTCCACGCAGCATTTTATTTCAACCACCATTTTTAAATCTGTTGCGTTGCGTGCAGTAACATTTGTTTGCTATTCGAATCAACAATGGAGTTTAAAAAATACGACTGATGGACCAACGACGAGGTTCAAGCTTTATTAAGGTTAAATTTAGAGGATGAAATCCAGCGGGAACTGTAAAGTAGTGTGCAGTCCTTTGTCACTGGCCTATTTGCCTAATCTTTCCGGTACTTTAGACTACGATGGAAACGCAGACAGCAACAGGTCTGGGGGAAAAAGGTTCCTGGGTTGTTCCGGGTAATTTCAGTGGAAACGCGGCTTTAGACGAACTCTGAATGCGCACTGCAAACTGTTATAGTGAATGGTAAATTTAAATGTTGAGCAAGCAAGCTCATTGGCTGCAGATGCGACATGAACCAATCAGCTTGTGCCAAGTAGTTAACGCTGTAAATATCACCAACTTGCGTTAAGGAGCCATCAGCCTGTACCATCTAGAGTTTCATGACAGAACTATGCATCACTGCAAGTTTATTTAACTCATGGTCTATATGTAAAAATAACATAGCAGCAGAAACGGGTTAAAGGGATAGTTCACCCAAAAATGAAAATATTGTCATCATTTACTCACCCTTATGTTGTTCCAAACCTGTATGAGTTTCTTTCTTCTGTTGATATTTTGAAGAAGATATTTTGAAGAAGATATTTTGAAGAATGTTGGTAACCAGACAGTTGACGGTAGCCATTGACTTCTTCCATAGTATTTTATTTTCTACTATGAAAGTCGAAGCTACAGTCAATATTTTCATTTTTGGGTGAACTGTCCCTTAGGTATTGCAGTGCCCCAGGACACACCATTACACAGGCGTGGGAACTGGTGGTTGGGAGGAGATGATCACTGGGCAACTGAGGAAGGGGAGGGGGCATCTTTGACCATTGTGCTGCCTCTATTTGAAAATATTTATAGAGCCCTGCATGGTGCCCCTTGCAGCCTCTGGCATAGTGCCCCTGAGCACATGCCCAAATGTGATTATAATTAATCCTTTAAACAACTGACATCAAAGTACTTTTCTGATGAAAATAATGTTTCTGTGACATTATTATGGTTATATTGAACACTTACAATTTATTATTGCTTACAATTTTCATGATCTGACACAAAGGGTGGTGTTGCATCTCGGACGTTGAAGACTTTTCTTTCTACATTTTCTTTTTTATTAGATAGTTGAAATGGGTTAGAAAGATTATTTTTGTTTCATTCTTTTCTTTGTGTTGGCACTGTCCAGTTTTCCCTTTTTCCTCCCCAGGTCTGGTATAGCATAATTTGCTGGTTTTCTGTGATTTCTTTCGTTTTGATTTTAAATAATAATTATTTGCTTAAATTGAATTTTCTTTGCTTTCGATATATATATATATATATATATATATATATATATATATATATATATATATATATATATATATATAGCCTATATATAATTTTTTTTTTTTTTGGCCAGTCAAATTTGTTCACATGTTCTGCTGCTTCTCAAATATCACCAGCTTGCGTTAAGGACCCATCAGCCTGTACCCAGAGGCGGACAGAGTACAGAGCTTTGTTACTTGAGTAAAAGTACAGATACCCCTAGCTAAATTTTACTCAAGTACAAGTAAAAGTACTACATTCAGATGTCTACTTAAGTAAAAGTACTAAAGTACTTGTTTTTAAAAGTACTTGAGTATCAAGAGTACAAGAGTAAATTTTCTAAATATTGCATTACTAATCTACTGCCACAGTGCTTACATTTATGCACAGAAACGTCCTACATGGAGTTATGAAAAATGTTAATGTTAATACCTTGGAGAATGTAAAAGGAATTGAAAGTAAAATCAAGTCATTTTCATCTTTTTACCATGTTGCTTTATTTAATTTAATTAAATTTTTGGGGGGTCCCATCTTAAATGCGGGGACAACACACACACACACACACACACACACACACCACATGTAAGGGTGGCGCTGCCAATAAAGCACCTAAAAGCTGTCACAAAGAACCGGCAAAAGGAATGATTATGAATATGTAAAATATAGCAAGGAGATATTTTAATTGTTTATTAATAAACACTTGTTAATAAACAAGTGTTTTCTTTGTCAGTGTCGGCTAAGATGAAGTTGACGATGCTGACTCGCGATCTTCAGTAGTGAACGCGCCAGAGAGAAATGCACATTTCATACGGATTACATAAGCAGAGAGCAGTCTGTAGTCTGTTTTCTTTCGTTTTGAATTTTTCTGTTTAAAAGTAGACATGTCTGTGAGAGGCAAGTAGGCCACCTTATACACTGAGTTTCGGTTCATTTATGAGACGAGATCCAGTTCACGTGCCGTCGCCTCCG